GTCACATGTAGGCCTACTGAGTTCTGAACTTGCCATTTAGGCCTTGGGGCTATGTTGTTTGATTTAATTCAACACAATATATGCACTCCACTATGCTGTTGTAGTATTTACTGTATCTGAAGCTCTTATTGCTCATATTTCAAGCCATCTTTTTTCCCGGCCCCTTGCTTTGGATCATTTTCATTAACCGGGCCCCATTCCAAACTAATTGAATAGCCCTGCGATAGACAGTAAAGAGGGAGAGAAGGAACGAAATGCACTGAAGTATTTCGCCTGCTCTATAAGGTGAGCTTCATGGGGAGCCCGGTCTGGTCGTTTTTATACATTTCAATGCGAAATAGTCACATGTAATACATTTAGTAATCCCAAATACAACTATTGATACACACCACGACAATGAGAACATCCAGACAGTTCCACAGGTTCTTGAAGTAATGCAGGCGGTGGATGTGTATCTCCAGCACTTCCTCCACCACGTAGTAGAGGATGAATATGCAGAAAGCCACCTCACACAGACCCACAAAGTAGTCCCAGCTCGACACGTATCGGATCAGACGCACAGTCTGGAACTGCCAGGAGGTCAGCACCCCACCTGTAGCAGGGAACTCCACCAGCAACCTGTGTTCATACAATGATACTTTTACACAATATAGATCAATCTAAATAAAGTAAATATAACGTTTATTTTATTTTATTGTAAGGGTAAAATATGATTTTTTTTCTCTTTTCAGACTGTAACTTTTTTGCTATTTTGATTATCAAAGAATCATTTAAGTCATTAATCGACTAAAATAACCGATCACTTCCTTTGACTAATCGACTATCAGAAGTTTGAAAAACGTTTTTTAAAAGATGTTACCTTGGGTTTAAGGGAATTTTCATGAACAATGCATTTATCAATTTATTTAAAAAGATTAACGACAAGATTAAACAACAATTGATTGAGGAGTAATATGGAGGAAAGAAGATACAACTCTTTCAAATGTTTCATCTGCACATTTATAGCAGCAGTTTCAGAAACGTTTAACCTTTTGTAATAATGTTATTAAGGTTGGAAAAAAAACTAAAGTTGGATGGACAATCAGGTTAAACAATGTTTCATCAATGCATACATTTGTTGCATTTCATTCCAACCAGATGCCATTGTTGTGTCCTTATTGTACTGATGTGATCAGTGATTCTCACCTGGCGATGCAGAACAGGTTAATGTTCCCGTTGTAGACGGAGAAGTCGAGGAACACGGCTCTGGTGCCTCGGTCCAGCCACAGATGGTCTTTGAGGAACTGCAGTTGGGTTGCTGACTCCTCTCTCGTTCGAGACAGGTCTTGGTAGTATCCTCCAGCTCCATATTTAGATATCTGGCCCCAATAACCACTGCCAGCCATCTCACTCTCTGCTGTATACATCCACCTAGGAGACAAAAGAAAGAAGATATTGTAGACATTTGTTAATACAGCTTCAGTCCCATTAAAACATTGGTAATCAGAGCCTATTCAATTAAAAGCATGGACTCACGCAGTTCCATTCTTGGGGCCAAAGGAGGCCGTGTCCTCGTTGGACGGGGTGTACATGTTGTAGCAGTCCTGAATCTCGCCTCTCAGATCTTCGTGGACGGAGCAGGACTCGTTGCGGACTTTAACCTGTCGGAGCCGTGGCACCCCGAGGAGCAGGTTCTCATAGTAGATGAGACTCTGATTCTCTGGCAGGCTCTTGTTGTTGTACCACACCTCCCAGTACATGCCTTTGAGGAAAGGTCCCTCTGTGAACTGTAAGGGTAGGAGAGCCAAGTTTACAACACAGGAGAGGCCAGAAATGAGAAAACCCTATATTTATTTATTTAATTGTGAATTTTGAATGTCCATGTTTGTACTAGTGTTTTCCTTCTTAAAATGTTTTTTAAATATTTTGAGATTTGGTTGAGCAGGGTACACTTGTACTTTTACTAGTCCTTTTATTAGAGATGTGTCTGTTGTTTGTGTTTGTTTTTAGTGTCAGGATGGAACCCTTGTCTTTTTCTCTGCAAACAGAATCTACCTACGGGTACAAAATAAATAAATAACCTGAACCTGTACCCTGTTGGTTATTTATTTTGATTGCAAAATTGGTCTTTGTTTACCACCCAAAATGTGCCTTGTATTATTATATTTTACAGTACTCATTGAAAAGTGTATTGTTAGATATCAAGCACACAAAGGTGTTATACATAGCTTTAACTTGCTGTGATAATGTGATTTTGCTATAATCTTTTGTTATAGACACTGCACTCTTTTCTATGTTAGAGCAATATTTCCTACCTTGTTTTACTTCTGGTATGTGTTTCCACTGAAATGTATTTCTACGGAAGTGGAACTACAACTGTGACCATGTGTGCTCGGATGAAAAGCACCAATGTACTCTTTTGCATGCTCTTTATTATACATTATGGCCCAACTAAGCTCTGAAGGTGTAGTTTGACATTTTGGAAAATTAGATGCATGAGAATATAGGCACCATTCTCCTCTCCGCCAGTCAAAATTAAGGATGGAAAACGTAGCTTACAAAGCCTAACATTAATGAAATTTGCGTTTTACCTTCCAGAAATCCTCCATGGTTGAGAGGCTTCTAAAAGAGGAAGGGTCCCCGGCATACAGCGGTGTGTCCAGGAACAGCTGAGACATGACTTTGGTATAGTAGTACATATTGGCACTCACCATCCCATAAGTCACTACAGAGCAAAAAAACACAAGTATTAAAACTGATATTCCTGTTAGCACTTGCTTCATAACAAGCTGTTGGTGAAATGCAGTCATACAACGGTAGTTAATGTTGTTGGTGTACGTTTGCTCTTTAAATCTAGTTTGGGAATGCAAAGAATTGATGAAAACAACAAGAACTCAGTATTGGGTTAAACTTGATTTAGTTTCACTACACAGCACTATTCCTAGTAGCGTTCAGTTTTCAGGCACCAGCTCTGGAAACTGCTTATAATGTCGAGCTTTGCCTGGCAGAATATCCCTCAATCCAGTCTGCCAGGAAATTGTTTCCTGATCCACCCTTAAACCACACTTTGGCATATTTCACTGCAGCGAAAAGAGAGTAGAGAAACTTTACCACAAGTTTTCTCATCATATGCATTTTAAATGTGATTCCAATGATCTTTTTACCATCAGAAAATGTGGCCATCAAATGTGTGCTGTAGCTGTAACCCCCTGTCTGGTGTCACAGATTCATTTTCAGCTGCCAAAACCATTAAGCATACAATGTGAGCTTGGAAAATAACTTTTCAGCAACCAGAAAAGTGCCAAGGCCTGCGTATTTTGTGCCACATTTTAAGTGCTTTCTATGAGTCACTTGGATCAACTATCATTTCAGTATTCTTGAGTGTTTACTTACAGATACAAACAGTGATGAGGAATGCGATGTATGTGACCATCTCCCTCAGTACGTTCCTGAGGTACCGCTCTCGACTGCTGTCACTGTCCTCCATCAGCTCCGTGCCCCACAGAACTGCAAAGAAAAAAACAGCAATTAAAATATCAGTCAGCATGTGTACAATAATTATTAAATAAATAATGCATAAAAAAGATCTGTATGTTTCTCCCTTAGACTAAGCTATTGAGTTAGAAAGAGCAAAATCCCTAGACTAGGGGTTTTGAAAATATTAATTTTAGAGCAAAGACATAGAACAATCTCTTCTTTAGTGACTCTATAAAAAAAAAAAATGTTTTACTAGATTATTAATGTCTATTTATTATAAATGTTTACCCTTTTGCCATGTATGGAGCACTTTTTAGCCTGGACTTTGAGTGCTTTACTTAATATAATTATTTTTCTTACATAGTAGCATTGAAACTTTAGTAGATGTCTGCTATAAGGGCATTGATAACATTAGTGGGGAGGGTGACACTCAATACAAATGTCTTGTTTATATTGTTAGTATGAGGAATTACTACTTCAAATCACTGAAATACCTCGGTTTGATAAAAAAAAGCTTGATGGTGTACGTAAACGTTATCATGGTTTTACTAATCTGTAGCTAGATAATTGCTGAACTATTCTAGGAAGTTTACAAAGAGCAGTGGTGTAAAGTAACTAAGTGTAGGTGTAACTACAATTTAGAGTGTAGTGTACTTTTTCTCCAGCACATTCATTTTATACCTTTAGTTACTTTGCATAATTGGCCTAATGATTTGAAATATAACCAACACTTCAATAAGACTTTAGTTACATCTGGAGTAAATTCACCATCTGCCCTGCAGTAGGCCTATACACGTTTATGTTAGATGCACCTTTAAAAGCTGTGATAACACTTTAATGCAACAATATTTCTAATCAAAAACATATAATATATATCATTCTGAAATGGGTCAATCTGCATATTGAGTACTTTTACTGTATGTAAATGTCAATACTGGACGTTTACTTGTAACAGAGTATTCCTACACTCTTCTACGTCATTCTACTTCATAACAAGATCTGAGTACTTCTTCCACCTCTGACAAAGTGGGTGACTAACTTCTGATCTTTTGCAGTATCTGCTTCAAAAAGCCGTGGTGGATATGCCTGTCCTGCTGCCGGGCATCCACAGTCGGGGTCGGGTAGAGTCCTCCGCGGGTGATGTGGGTGCTGCTGCCCGCTCCGGGGAAGCTGCCCAGGCCGCTGCTGCAGCTGCTGCTGGAGGCCGTGGACACCGACCTCCTCCCGGGACTCGCTGGAGGCCAGTCGGCTGCCATGATCTCCTCTTCGGGATCAAACCCTGGGTTGTCACGGCTCCAGGCTTGTCTGGACGGGGGGGACGGGGTGCCTACGGCTCCCCCGAGACCCAGGTCTTGATGCTGGATGTTCTCCATCTCTATCCCCTCGCCTGAGTCTAGTTTGTGCGGCACCTTGGCAGTCTGGCTCTGCGGCAGCTGCTGTGGTCTGACTCGGGATGAACTCATGGTCCAATTATATATGTGTTTTCTATCTACTGCGGGGCATCTGCAAAAGTTACGCTAAACACTGTAGAATGTTATAACGGCTCAAGCATTTCGGCTAACCGTACCACCTAAAAACGCCTAAAAACAACAAATCTGATTAGAAAAGTGTGTCCAATAACTCCCTAAATAACTACATTAAAATTACACGGTGTTTACAAATCAAAATCAAGACGTTTTAATAGCGGTATCATGCTCCGTATATAGCTTGTGTTAATGTAGTAAGTTAGTTTTCACTCTCAACAAACCGTTAAGAAAACTTTCCTGAGACTGCCAAGGCACACAAAAAGATGTCTTCCTTAATACAGCGATGCCTTTAATGCGTTTAAAGTTGTTCCCTAATAAGCTATTTAAGTTGTTGCTAATAAGCTATTTACATGACACTGGTGGCTGCATTAAGATGCCGTGTTTATGTGGAAGAAGAAAGACACTTTTCTTGCCCCAGGACAGCCATCTTGTTCCTGAACTGTTCCCCTAAAAAAACTCATTCCCATTTGTCCGGGACTCAGATTACATTAGAAGTCATGGCGTCGCAGAAAAGGATGGAAAACACCTCTGTGGAAAACATTTTTTATTGTATTACATATTGCTCCATTTATATTGTGTTTTCTTAAATTAACTGTTTTAATGTTCACTTTATAAAGAGATGTGTTTTTTTTTGTTGATTTGTAAAGATCAGAATGCAGCTTCCCATCGTTACAGTGTTGACATAGTATATTTTTGTTATAGTTTTTAACACTAAGACAACAAATTAGCCTTTGCTTTGTTTTTTTTAAAATATGTTAAGTACCGTATTCAGATGAATATAGACGTCAGTGTTACATAATATCTGTATGTTTGGGTCAGCGGTTGCCATGACAACACAACAGACGGGTAAATTGAAACTGTTTAAAAGTAATTTTTCAAAAGGTTGCACAGGAGTTTGAGATATAAAATCACAAATTCCTAGTTAGTTTCGTGTTCAAATTGTCAATTTCTTTAGAGCAACAAAGCATGGGGCTGTTAGAGTTTTCTTTCTGAATAAATCATTAATGCTGCAGGTTATTTGCTTGTAACTTGACATTAAAAGCAACTAGCCCATAGAAAGAGGGAGTCTGATTTGCTAACTATAATGTTTAGAAAAGGAAGGTCACAACCACCAGTAAATCATCTTTTAATTAAGCAGTTTCTATAGATTTCTCTAAACCCACCCTCAAAGTGTAAATTACCTTTAGTTATAAAGTGCTATCAAAGATAACCTTGTTCACAGAAAACACTGTTTTCCCCCATAATTTCACTCTTCAGAGCATCAAAAACATAAACTGACATAGGCTTATTTTATATTTCTCCAAATGTCATTGTTTGCCATTGTATTTCATTGGAAGTGGTGATAATACTTTATTTTGTTACCAAGCTGAAGCATGAATGGTCCTGTTGATCCACAGTATCAGACACAACAGTTGTTTGACCACTTGGTGGCACCAAACATCCAGACTTGTAAAAGCTTGATTATTATAAACCAGTGACAAGACTACTAAAAACCTCATGAACTATGCCTTCAAGTTGTTAAATGTACTATCCATCAAAGCACAATTCTTGTTCGTCACAAATGTTTGGCATATCAAACAAAGCAAATGGGCAGGAGGTGATGCTTCATGGCCCCAACTGTGACTGGCTGTATAGAATATACAAGACTGATAACTGTTATTCGGATTAATTATTTTTCATTGGATGCATTTTTAGACTTCAAGCAGATCCAATTAATGAGTCATATTCATTGTTTTGAGGGACAGTTTGATAAAGAAAGGTTATTTTTCGCTTTATGAATAACTAATGTATGACATTAACTCAAACAACAAGTCTCTGCAGCTGCAATGATCATGAGGTGACATAAGGTCCTATTTTCTTTAGTTTGGTACAGCTTGTCCTTCTTTCACGAGTACCACTCTTTGCATTTAAGTTTTGATACTGTTTTACTCCAACTTTATTTCTGAGTAAAAGATTGCAGTCTTTACTCTGTGTAAATTTATATACATAAGCGTATGTGAAAGCAATAAAAGGCCAGTAGCTCAATATTTTAAAGAATTTCCCAAATTGGGATTAATAAAGTATCTATCTATCTATATATATATATATATATATATATATATATATA